AGCATACCTTTAAAGCAATTCATTCTCTTCATTCCATTCCACTAGATGGCACTAGAGTCACAGCTTCAAGCTAACAACATATTTTAAAATAGTTGCAGTTCTCTAAACATGCTGTGCTTAGTTTCAGCTCCACACCCTCACTCACACTTTGCTCTACTGGGAAACTCTTTCCTAACTAGATAGCCTGTTCATTTTTTTAAATTCAGATCCTCTGGGATGCCCCTGTGGTCTAGTGGTTAGGATTCTGAGCTTTCCCTGCCAAGGGCCTGGATTCAATCTCTGGTTGGGAAACTAAGATCCCACAAGCCATGTGGCACAACCAATATAAAGAAATTAAAAATAAAATAAAACTCAGATCCTTGACATCCATCTCTTGTCCATAAATAACTTTATGCAGCCACTGTCCTTTACATATTATTCTAAAATAAAGCCATGAAATATTGTTTACATGCATTCCGCGCCCCCCCCCCCCATCTTGCATATGTTATCTGAGATAGGTAGTGATGAGATTTTAGTTGATGCCTGGCATGCGGCACGCAGTAGGTACTATAAGCAATGTTATCAGGATAGGCCAAGTTAGCAAAAAGTCCACATCGCAGTAGCGTAAGACAACAAAGGGGCACTTCCATGGTGGTCCAGTGGTTTAGACTCTGCGCTCTCGGACCAATCCCTAGTGGGGTAACTAGATCCTACATACAGCAACTAAGAGTCCACATGCTACAACTAAAGATCCTGCATACCACAACCTGGCACAGCCAAGTAAATAAATAAAATACAATATTTAAAAAAAGACAAAGTTTTTTTCTTGTTTACATTACATATTCATCGGGGATCAGCTGAAGGCTCTGCTCCATGACTGGTACTCCAGAACCTATGTTAATGGAACAAATCCATCCAGAGCCTTGCTGGTGACTGTGGCAGAAGCAAAGAGGGCTTTGGAGGTTTCTGAACCTGTGCTTAAATGCGCCAACCTAAAATTGACACAAATCATTTCTACTCACAAGTTATTGGCCAGAACTAATTATATGGCCCCATTCAATGGAAGGATGTCAGAAAGTGTGATTCTATCATGTGCTTGGAAGGCAAGGGCAGAAATATTTGAGGAATGTTGATGCTGCAATTCATCGGGGCGCAAAGAGTCAGACACGACTAAGCAACTGAACTGAACTGAATGATGATCTTTCCAGCAGTCATGTACGTATGTGTGAGTTTGACTATAAGGAAGGCTTAGCGCCCCAAAATTGATGCTTTCAAATTGCGGTGCTGGAGAAGACTCTTAAGAGACCCTGGGACATCAAGCCAGTCAATCCTAAAGGAAATCAACCCTGAATATTCATTGGAAGGACTGATGCTGAAGCTGAAGCTCCACTACTTTGGCCACCTGATTTGAAGAGCCAATTCATTGGAAAAGACCCTGATGCTGGGAAAGACTGAGGCTAGGAGGAGAAGGGTGCAACAGAGGATGAGATGGTTGGATGGCATCATCAACTCAACGGACATGAGTCTGAGCAAACTCCAGGAGTTAATGAAGGACAGGGAAGCCTGGCGTGCTGCAGTCCATGGGGTCACAAAGAATCGGACATGACTTAGTGACTGAACAAATGACTGCTAATGACCCTCCTAATCAATAATCCTTCAGCTCAGTATTTCTCCTGCAGGTAGAACACATTCACTGTATGTTCCCCCACAAAGGAAACAACCCAAGAATTCCCTTCAGTCACAACATCAAGTTCAAATTCAAGAATCTGCATGATGCACAGTAATTGCTATTGACAGTTTCAGATATGGCTTGAGCTAGAGAATGATAAACTAAAACAAGCCATGTGCCACACATCTAATGTACTCTGGTGGAACAGGGACAGGATAAATGCAGTCAGGGGAGTGGGGACAAATGGAAGACACAACAACCTAGTGACTGTGATGTTCCACTGTGTAGATGTGATGACAGTCCCTTACCTAGAGCAAAGGGAATGGTTCTTGATTAGCTCTTAATTCTGCTTCTTGGGAAGACATCCTTAAGCCACTGTTCTGTGTTAAGCTGCAAAGTTTTCAGGGTGGTTGCTGCAGTACAACCTAATTTGTCCTGACTGATAAGGAAATCAGAATCTAGAGGGGGGTGTTACAGATTATTTAAAAAGAAACACTTAATATGTTTGAATAACTAATACGGAGGGCAGCAAAGAAATCTTACTGGAGGCTGGAAGGTCAGCAGTCCATGTTATACAGCAGCAAAGCATTTGGTAAAATTGTGGCTTGCAGTAACTTAGATGTTATACTTTAACAATCTACCTAATAAGCTAGGAGAGTCAAGAGAATAGAATTTTAGCAGCAGAAATTGGATACAGTTGGCTGTCACTGACAAAGCACCCCAGGATGAGTTCAGAAGAGAACTGGCCAGCTTGCAAGAAGGTAAAGAGATCGAGAGAGACTATGGATGGCACAAGGGTTCACAGAAGCAACTGCTTCTCATCCTTAAGTGCATGCTCAGTTGCTCAGTCGTGTCTGACTGCGACATTGTGGGCTGCAGCCCTACCAGGCTCCTGTCCATGGGATTTCCCAGGCAAGAATGCCTTGGGTATTGTGAGTGGCCATTTCCTCCTCCAGGGCATCCCTAAGATTAAGAGATAAAATGGAGATGCTTGGAGTAACAAAAATCACTCAAAAGAGAATTCAAACTCAGCTTTGTTGGTATGGTAACCAACAGTCCTGGTTTGACCAGAACCATCCCAGTTCTTAACACTGAAAACCTGGCAACCAAGGAAACCTCTCTGCCAGGAACAGGGACAGCTGTTTACCCTACTCATCACATCTCTGTTGAAACCTCCGAGTAGTTTAAATTGTTTTAGAGTCAAGACCTTATATAATTTGTGGCACTCAATAAACCATTTCCATTAAGCTAAACTGCTTGGGAAAGAGACTTCAGGTGCAGGTCTCCAACCAAAAGATCAAAATGCCCCAGAATCGTTGAAGAGGCATGAGAATGAGAAAAGACACCAAATCTAAGAAAAATGTCTAGAAAAGGGCAGCTATGGCATGAAACTGCCTGAAATCAGAGATAAAAAGCCAACTATATTTCTGAGAGTACTCTGCTACCAAGACAAGTCACATAAGCCCAGCCAATCACAAAAGACCAAAGAGTACAATCTTTTATCATGTGCCCAGAAGGTGAGAAGCTGGAAATACTTGCCAACAGCACTAAGAATTATCACAGCACAATAAATAAAAGTGATGCCCAAACCACTGGTTTCTGGGCTATGTGTTAGTCACTCAGTGTTCGATTCTTTGTGACCCCATGGACTGCAGCCAGGCTCCTCTGTCCATGTTATTCTCTAGGCAAGAATACTGGAGTGGGTTGCCATTCCCTTCTCCAGGGGATCATCCCAACCCAGGGATTGAACTCAGATTCTTTACCATCTGAGCCACCAGGGAAGTCTGGGGTAGTGGCACTTGAGTTTAAGAACACTCAGGAAGAGGGCTTCCGTGGTGGCTCAGTGATAAAGAATCCGCCTACCAATGCTGGAGACATGGGTTTGATATCTGATCCGGGAAGATCCCACATGCTGAGGAGCAATTAAACCCACAGAACTATTGAGCCTGTGATCTAGAGCCCAGGAGCCACAACTACTGAAGCCCATGTGCCCTAAAGCCTGTGCTCCCCAAAAAGAGAAGCCACTACCGTATGAGAAGTCCATGTACTTCAACTAGAGGGCAGCCCCCACTCTCCTCAAGGAGCCCGCACAGCTGCAAAGACCCAGCACAGCCAAAAAAAAAATAAGGAACACTCAGAAAGTAAAACTGGCTTAGCAGAGGACGCCATGCACCATTCTTACCCTTTAGCAAAAGTAAATCAAACTCACCACACACAAAAGGATGTATGCACCAAGATGAGTGTGTTAATTACCATACTCAGAGGAATGAATATGCTTCAATATTGAGTGGGGATGAAGGAGGGAATTCAAGGGGGGGAAAAAAATCCCCATTTTTCTGGAAAGTCCAAGCTGTTAGGTCTGGGAGAGCAGAAACAATCAGTGAGGCACAGACATTTCACCAGCTGACCTGGAGAACAATCAGAATTGAGTAGATAAGAACACAGAGAAAGAAAACGCCTACTGAACTCAAGTCTTTTCCAGGGACTGAAGCTGAAGGGCTGTCAGAAAGGATCATTTTTCTTTTTCTTTAGAGATGGATAATGTCAAGAGGAAACTCTAATAGCCTTGGCCTAGGCTGGGACAACTGGTTGATACAGGGCATTCCCAAGTGCACCTGCCTCCACATTCAAAGGTTTATTTACCTTATGTTTTAAACAAAGTGTTTTTTACATGCTTTTCTGCTCCCATGCTTTAAGAGGTGAAACCTCAGATGTGTGCATTAAAACCCTTCCCTATTACTAATTTCAAGGGCAGGAGTCAACAAGACACACAGTGGAAATATACATTCAACTTTATTTCATTAGAAAAACTTATTTAAGCCACATGGTGGCCAAAATGCCCTTGTCCCAAGCAGGCCCTGTCATTCCCCTGCCCACTTTAGACCAATACACACACATACATACTCACTAAGTTGGAGGAAGAACTTTAAAAAGTGTAAAAATGAGAACGGGACACAGAAGACTCCACCTTCCCCCTTTCTACAGCCAACCCACACAACTCTTAACTGTTACCTGCACACAGAGGAGCTCTCATGGGAAAAAAGCTGAATACCAAGTAAACTGACCATAAGACACCGAAGTCCAAAAGAATTCTTGGCAGATGCTTAGAAAGTAGGATTGAAACTAAGACCATCTCCCAACAGCTGAAGCTGCAGCACAAGTCCTCATCTAAGAGAAGATGAAGCCAGGCTGCTCAGGACAGCCAAGCAGAGGCAGCCTGGGGAGGAGAGTGAGACCACTCCACTCCACAGCCACAGGCCACCCACTAAGATCTGTGGTTAAACAGGCTTTTTCCAGAACAAGGAGCATTCAAACGAGGTCCTTAGAGGGCCAAGTGAACAGTTAGTTCTCTGATAACACTGATGTGGAGCTTGCCTCCGCGGGAACTGGTAGAGCTGGCGGGATTTTGGAGACTGTTCCAAGGTTATAACCGGTGGAGGGAGGTCTTATCACACCCCTCTGGATGGATAGTCTGGAAGGCTCTTGGCTCTGTGTTGGCAAGCTGACCTCTGGTGGCCCAGGAGCTCCCAGGAGACGGGCCCTCCAGTAAGCCCTCCAGGGACTCCATCAGTCTAATGAAGATGGAGAGCAGGGTCAGCACCCCACCTAAGAGATAGAGGTTCAACATGTGCTTCATAGCTTCAAGGATTCCACTCCTTTATGGAACAGCAGCAGCTGCCTTCTGCTTCTGAAAGGCCTCCGGATCCTGAGAGAGAAGAGAGAGGCGAGGTTTATCTCCAGCCTTCTGGGATATGCATGTCTCTGACCTTGACCCTGGAGCTAAGCAGGCGGCCAGCCAGTCAGGGAGGCAGGGGCCAGGGCAGAATCTTCAAGTAAATTTACACTGTAAACGCCATGGCTCCCACCTGGCTGTGGAACGACTCAGCTTCTTGGACTAATTCAAGAGCATTCCTTAAAACTTTAACTTCTGCTTTCAGGTATAGAGAATCCCTGTTCCACAGTCCAGGGACCACAAACCTTCCTGATGTAAAAACTCAGTTCTTTTTGGGGGGGGGAAGGTTGCGGGGGGTCGATTGTGGGAATATAAGAACATGTCCTTGAGAAAGCAAAAGCAACCTGCCTGGAAATCTCCTTCACATATCTGTCAGGTGTGAATTAATCATAAACTTTTAAAAAGTCTAAATAATCCTAACAGTAAAGTGTATCAAGCTCACTTATTTAACAAGTACGCCCTTAACACCCACAACGTGTTAGGCACCCTCGATGGCACTAAAGCCCCTCGAGGCCCTGCAGACAAGAAGCCGGACCTCATGCGCCTTCCAGTTTAGCGGGGGAGGGGGGACAGTTCCTACAAGCAACAGGAAGGAGATGCTAGGTGTGCTCTGGATGGGCACGGCATGGGGTGGGCACACGGATCCTAGTTAGGGCCACCCCTGGAGAAAGTTGGGCGGGGTGGCTCAGTGGGGCCCCAGGTGGGGACGAGAAGGGACGCTCCCCACAGCACAGTCCCAGGCGGGGGTAAGGCCAGGAGGCCCGCGGGGCACGCAGCCCAGGGGTTGGGGGCGGGGAGCCGGGAAGCCTACAAAGCCGCTCACCTCCAGGAGGAAGGGCCAGGAGCGGCCCGCGTGCTGTAATAATGGGTCGCGGGGAGTCGGAAGGAAAGTCAGACCACGAGATGTCAACCCAGACGCCTCTCAGCAGATAACAGCGCAGTTTGCAGCGAAACTCTGAGCCAGGGCCACGCCGCGCATTTATAGCCGCGGTGCTGCCTGGAGCCCGCGCGCGCGCACTGGAGCCCTGACGCAAGCCCGCGGCCCCGCCCCTAGGCGAGGGCGGGCTGGGCTTCCAGGCAGTTCTCAGCAGCTTCGGTCAGGGCCGTTCCCAGAGACACACGCCGTGCGACTCTGAGTCACTGAGGTGGCCGTGGCAGCAGGCGTGTATATTAACTTCAAGTGCCTTTTCTAGCTGCAGGAAACGTTTGATGGAGTTAGAAAGTCATTATTCCCCCATACCACGTCGATGGAAAACACACCTAAAATGGTGCAAGCCAAGGGTTCGCACACTGCGTGGGATGAGGTCCCGCGGGCGGCTGGGGATGCATTCTTCGCCGCAGATTTCAACAGAGCACCGATTGTCAGAGGGCCTCAGGCCCTCGCTCCACCGCCCCCACCCCACTGCCTGTTTCCCTCATTCAGGAACTGAAAAGTTGACGCTGTTTCACTTCTTCGAGGTAACAGGATTCCAAACGCCCCCCATCCCCCACTCAGTCCCTATTCCGAGTCCTTGTTTCCTTTGCCATTGGTATCTCTGGAATGGCATCTTTTTACATTATAAACCCTGCCTTCCATGAGAGTTTGTCACAGTACCAAAATGTGGAATACACACCTGGCCCTGGTGTCTGCATGTGACCGAATCCCTTGGCAGGCCATGGGACGTGTACAGTGTGGCCACGGAACGAAGTCTGAGGCTGAACAAAAGTCCTAGGGGGTCACAGTCTAGGTGGTGGTTTAGTTCCTAAGTCGTGTCCGACTCTTGCGACCCCATCGACTGTAGCCTGCCAGGCTCCTCTGTCCATGGGGTTCTCCAGGCAAGAATACTGGAGTGGGTTGCCATTTCCTTCTCCCCGCGATCTTCCCGATCCAGGAATCGAACCTGGATCTTTTGCATTGCAGGCAGATTCTTTACCGACTGAGTTACGAGGGAAGCTTCCACAGTCTAGACTTATGCCCAGATTGGGGGCTGAGAAGCCTCATTAAGCAAGACCCTCCCAAGGTGCTCCCAAACCTCATCCCTGCCCCCGGCCCCGACCCCGCCAAGTCACTGGATGTCGAGAGGGCACCCAATGGCGGATCTCGGGAAATAAATTGCTGGGGGCATGCTGGGAGTGGGGAGGGAATGTCCACGCCGTGGAAGGAAGGCCGTGGGTGGTTTCGCTGCCTTCCTCGTGGGGAGGGGAATTGGGGCAAAGCTCCGAGTTGGTGACTCTAGCAGGTCCCCGGAGCTTTAGGACTGCCGGCTCCGCTTTCCTGGACTGGACGAGTGGCAATCCAGGCGCTCCCTCGGCTCCGCGGAAAAGAGGCTGGACCGACCGGGAGTTGCCGAACCTCGGCTGCGACCTTTCACCTACTAACCCGGCTCCATCTGCTGTCAGAGGAGGATGGGCGGGAAAGACCGTCGGGAAGAGGGAACGTTGGAGATGGGAGACGTGCTGGCAGGCAGGCGGGCACTGTGAAATTAACTTTTCTACTCAGCTTGCAGGAATTTTTGATGCTTCATTACATTAGACTTTCTTCTCTATTTTCGCTGGACTCAAGTGACTGTTCTCTTGCACTGTTATTCAGGAGGGGCTCCAGCTCTGAGCTATGAGGGAAGCCCTCAAATGTTTTGGTATATATACCTTTTCCGGTCATGTCCAACTCTTTTGCGACCCCATGAACTATAGAGTTCATGGAATTCTCCAGGCCAGAATACTGGAGTGGGTAGCCTTTTCCTTCTCCAGGGGATCTTGACAACCCAGGAATCGAAGCCCAGTCTCCTGCATTGTGGGCAGATTCTTTACCAGCTGAGCCACAAGGGAAGCCCAAATATACTGGAGTGGGTAGTCTATCCCTTCTCCAGCAGATCTTCCTGACCCAGGAATTGAACCTGAGTCTCCTGAATTGCAGGCGGATTCATTACCAGCCAAGTTCCCTGGTAGCTCAGACGGTAAAGCGTCTGCCTGCAATGCAGAGACTCGGTTCTATCCCTGGGTCGGGAAGATCCCCTGGAGAAGGAAATGGCAACCCACTCCAGTATTCTTGCAAGGAAAATCCCACAGACAGAGGAGTCTGATAGGCTACAGTCCATCGGGTTGCAAAGAGTTGGACATGATTGAGCGACTTCTCTTTCTCTCTTTCCAGCTCTGAAACCATGCTACGGAGTGTCCCCCACCCTTGCTAGTTAGGGGACTCAGGCGAATCCTTTAACCTTTAGACACTTCAGTTTCTCAGCTGTGATATGGGAGGTTAACAGTCCTTACCTGGAAATTAAATGAGTTAAATCACATGAAGAACTGAGAATGCTGCCTGGTACATGGAAAACGTGCTGTACGTGTTACAATTATTTGTATCCTCTACCACAAAATTCCCAGTGAGAGACTTTGGTCGCAGTTGCCTATGTTCAGTGAGGCAACACAGGAATTCCACAATAACCCTTTGGGTTCTGTTGATTGTCAAGTCTAAAAGTTTATTCTCATAGAGCTCGAAGGAAGAGATAGGCAGCTCTCTGACAGTTCCCGCTCCCATATTTACTGCCACTGTGCAAACATCATGCTAGATGCAGCAAACCAGAGTTTGGGTGAGTATAGTCCGGTGCTTTCCCATTTATCAGTTACAAATATTCTTCTACATCATCTCCTCATCTCTGGGTAGGTATTGGGCCTACCTATATCAAGATTCTTGTCTATTGTATCTGCAGGCCAAGTTAGTTAATCCTTTTGAGCCCTAATCTCCTAATCTGTAACATGAGGGAAATAATATATAAAACAGAGTTATGAGGATTTGAACTAATACATGTAAAGTATGTGTCATGTAGTAGATGATTAATAAATCTTAGCTCTTTTTACTAAAACAAGAAAGGCAAGTTCTTGTCACCTGGTTGGATAAATAAGACTTAAGTAGCAACCCAAGGCATGGGTAGGGTTGTGGTTAAAAATCAGTCCGACTTGAATTTGAATACTGCTCTGCGATTTGCTAGCTATTCTCCTTGGGCTTTGCTTGCTTCAGTCTCTTCATTTGTAAAATGTAAATAGTAATAGTTTGTACCGAGTAAGGTTGTTATGAAGATTAAATAATGGGTGTAAAGTACTTGGTATAGATTAGGGCAAAATGTGTGGTATTTATTAATCTAATTAGCTTCTGTTGTTGTTTTTGTTCAGTAACTAAATCATGACCAACTCTTTGTGACCCCATGGACCGGAGCACACCAGGCTTCCCTGTCCTTCACCATCTGCCAGAGCTTGCTCAAACTCATGTCCATTGAGCCAGTGGTGTGGTCCAACCATCTCATCCTCTGTTGCCCCCTTCTCCTTCTGCCTTCAATCTCCCAGTACCAGGGTCTTTTCCAATGTGTTGCCTCTTCACATCAGGTGGCCAAAGTATTAGAGTTTCAGCTTCAGCATCAGTCCTTCTAATGAATATTCAGGGTTGATTTCTTTTAAGATTGACTGGCTTGATCTTGCAGTCCAAGGAACTATCAAGAGTCTTCTCTAGTACCACAATTCAGAGGCATCAGTTCTTTGGCACTTAGTTTTCTTCATGGTCCAACTCTCATATCCAGGCATGACTACTAGAAAAACCATAGATTTGACTATATCAACCTTTATCAGCAAAGTGATGTCTCTGCTTTCTACTATGTTCTCTAGGTTTGTCATAGCTTTCCTTCCAAGGAGCAAGCATCTTTATTTACTTTTTAAAAATTTGCGAGGCATGGCCTACTCCGGACCCCAGCAGTTCCCTCCTCTGACACTTCCCTGAAACCCATGAAAAGCTGAACTGGTGACTGTGTGTGTGAATGCATGCATGTACGCGTGTACGTGAGAAACGGTGCGTGTGCGTGTGCAAGGACCTGAGAGAAAAGCCCCCACCCCCCGCCAAAAAAAAAAAAAAAAAAAAAAAGGGAGGGGGAGAAAGGGGGGAGCAACAACAACAACAACAACAACAAGAAATCTAGAAGGAAAGAAGGAAGGAACGAGGGAAGGACCAAATAGGTTAGTTAGTAAAAGAAAAAAAAAAATTTTTGCTTGTTATATTTATTACAGTGTAGCTGCTTTACAATGTTGTGTTAGGTTCTGGTATACAGAAGAGTGATTCAGTTATATGTGTCCGTGCTCAGTCACTAAGTTGTGTCAGATTCTTTGTGACCCCATGAACTGTAGCCCACCAGGTTCCTCTGTCCATGGGATTTTCCAGGCAAGAATACTGGAGGGGGTTGCCATTTCCTTCTCCAGCAAGCGTCTTTTAATTTCATGGCTGCAGTTACCATCTGCAGTGATTTTGGAGCCCAAGAAACTAAAATCTGCCACTGTTTCCACCTTTTCTCCTTCTATATGCCGCGAAGTGATAGGACCAGATGTCATTATCTTAGTTTTTTGAATATTGAGTTTTAAGCCAGCTTTTTCACTCTCTTCTTTCACCTTCATCAAGAGGCTCTTTTATTCTTCATTTCCAGCCATTAGAGTGGTTTCATCTGCAATCTGAGGATGTTAATATTTCCCAGCAATCTTGATTCCAGTTTGTGATTCATCCAGCCTGGCATTTCACATGATGTACTCAGTTCAGTTCAGTTCAGTTCAGTCACTCAGTCATGTCTGACTCTTTACAACCCCGTGAATCGCAGGATGCCAGGCCTCCCTGTCCATCACCAACTCCTGGAGTCTACCCAAACCCATGTCCATTGAGTCGGTGATGTCATCCAGCCATCTCATCCTCTGTTGTCCCCTTCTCCTCCTGCCCCCAATCCTTCCCAGCATCAGGGTCTTTTCAAATGAGTCAACTCTTTCCATGAGGTGGCCAAAGTATTGGAGTTTCAGCTTCAACATCAGTCCTTCCAATGAACACGCAGGACTGATCTCCTTTAGAATGGACTGGTTGGATCTCCTTGCAGTCCAGGGGACTCTCAAGAATCTTCTCCAACACCACAGTTCAAAAGCTTCAATTCTTCAGCGCTCAGCTTTCTTCACCATCCAACTCTCACATCCATACATGACCACTGGAAAAACCATAGCCTTGAC